CAGTGCCCGGCTTAACCTGGTCCGGCCTCGGGCCCACGTGCAGTGTCCGCATGCCTCATGTTCGTCTGTCCACACGTCCGTTTGCGTCGTCCCACTAATGTGAATTTCAGCAGCAAGTGTGGTGTTTGTTTTTTATTTTTGTCTTTGTCTCCGTGCCGTCGCTGTCGTTGTCCTTCAATAAGGTTGACTGCATTCAGCCAGTGCCAAAAGAGGAGCCCAGTCTCGCTACCAAATTCCAGTCCATCGGGGTTCAGGTAGAGGACGACTGGCGGTAAGTCGTACGGAGGTGGCGGCTGCTTCTCCCCTCTCCTCTCCCTCCCTCGCTCTCACCTCTCCTGCGCCTTCTCCTCCTGCTCTCCCTAACCCACTTCTCCTTGCTGGACTTCTAATAACCAAGTTGGGTTTGGGGTGCGAGCTGTGGCCCAGGCGTGGGAGGCTGGGCAGGCGGGTGGGTGGGCAAATGAGAACTTACTCGGTGAGATAAATCAGCCCGCAGGGGGCCAAGGCCGGGCTGAGACATGAGCTACCCCGATGTTGGTGGTCTTCCTGGCCCCACTGCAGTAAACAGGCAACCTTATGACCTTGTCCGTGTGTGTGTGTGTGTGTGTGTGTGCGTGTGGGCATGGGTGGGGTGGGGCGAGGCCAGGGCTGAGCAGAGAATGAGATGGGGGCTGTGGGACCCGCTTCAGGCGCATGGTGAGCAGATGATGCATCCGTTTCTCTGTCTCCCGTGTGTCCGGGTCGGGATGCCTCTGGTCTCTGGCCCTCTTGGTGACTCTCACCTCTTCCTGTCCCCACCCCACTCCACCCACAGAAGCAGCGCCCCCTCTCACAGCATGTCCTCCCGACGGGACACCGACTCAGATACCCAGGATGCCAATGACTCGAGCTGTAAGTCATCTGAGAGGAGCCTCCCGGACTGTACCCCACACCCCAACTCCATCAGCATTGATGCTGGTCCTCGGCAGGCCCCCAAGATTGCCCAGATCAAGCGCAACCTCTCCTATGGAGACAACAGCGACCCTGCCTTAGAGGCATCCTCGCTGCCCCCACCTGACCCCTGGCTCGAGACCTCCTCCAGCTCCCCAGCAGAGCCGGCACAGCCCGGGGCCTGCCGCCGAGATGGCTACTGGTTCTTGAAGCTACTGCAGGCAGAAACGGAGCGGCTGGAAGGCTGGTGCTGCCAGATGGACAAGGAGACCAAAGAGAACAACCTCTCTGAAGAAGGTAGGTGCTGTGGGTGAGGGGAGAAGGGGTACACAGCTAGTTCTCCAGCTTCTGGCCAGACACCCCGCCTCTGAGTAGGGAGGGTCTTTCAGGTTCTCTTCTTGGATCAGCTGTGAACTCACCTCTCATTTTTATTGCTTCCTTTCTACCTATCCAAACCTTTTTCCAGACAGGATTTACGGCAGCAGCTGCTAGTTTTATAGGCTGTGAGATCAGCCACACCCAGATTTGAATCCCAGCTCTTCCCTTACTAGTGAGGCGACCTTGGTCAGATTACTCTGAGCCTCAGTTTCTTTATTTGTAATGTGGAGCTAATCCTACCCTCTAACTGCAGGAGCATATTGTGAGGATTGCATGTGGCAGTTCATGTAAAGGACCCGACGAAGTGCCGGACACGGAGAAAGCTGTGCTGTAATGCTGCCTTCAGCAGCTCTGTATTGAGTACCTACTGTATGCCAAACCCAGGGATCTAATTGTGGACCTCCACAGGGTATAAGGAGCTATAAATGGATGAGACAGAAGTCCTCTACTTTTCCACTTGCGTTTCTATCTATACCATGCCCATTTCTAAAAATCTCCCGAGAAATTAGTTGAAGAAAGAGCTAGAAATATGTAGGGAGGCTGGATCCACAGGTGACTGATGTATAGGAGAGTAGGGGTTTGGAAGCAGGCCCCTGGGAAGCCCCAGGTCATGGCCCCAGGTGCCACACCCGGTGCTGGCCTGGTTCAGTCCTCTCCAGTCCCCGCAGAACATCTGGGAAGGACAGGTCTCTGGAGTATCCAGAAGGGATGGAGCCAGCATCCCACTGACCCCTGTTTGGGTGCGGCCTGAGGAAGCGCCCTTTGATGATTTAGAATGCTTCACAATTGCTGTTTTCACTGTCTCCTAGGCCAGTTCTCAGCTTTGATGTCACACCCTGTGTGTGTGTACAGGGGACTGTTGTGAAGTATATACCTGATAACTTTTTACAGTAATAGTATTTTAAAACTTGGAATGGAGTCAGAGATCAATGCGAGCACTTAAAAGGCTTCTAACCAACCATCCAGCCCACTGGCCTACCTTCTAAGCCATCCCCACGTTCAGCTTTCATTAGCTGTATATTCTGGTATTTATATTTATTTACCTTTGTATTTCTTTTTTTTTAAGGTGATTACCTTTTATTTCATCTCTAAAATTATTCATCATTATACATTATTGATTTTCTGCTCTAATAGATGAGTGTATACTGTCACCTCTACCTCCTGTGCGTCACTCCTCTATATATTACATCACAGTTTTAGGTTTAATAACAACCATTTTTCTGTTTCCTATGAGCATGTAAATATTGTTCACTGAAGAGCCTAGTAATATATTATGATTTCATTTTCTTATGCATTTTGATTTTCCTAGAATGAGTAAGTTACTTCATCGTTTTTTATGCACTTTATTTTCTAAGCTCTTATTTGTAATGTTTTCACATGCTCCACCAGATCTGCTAACCTTCTGGATATGCAGACATATCAGATAATCTCATGATTTCCTATTTTTCCTAGTGCCCTCTGTCTTCTGCTCTGACCCAGCCGGATTGCTTTCTGGGCCTGCTGCCTAGCTGCTGTCCACTGACTTCCCTTTGCATCATGTGGGAATACCCTTGGCCACTTTCCCATGATGGACACTCTGCTTTTTGGACCACGTGTTCTGCTTTCTTGGTTTCAGTCCCTCATTTTACTGGCACACAACTTCAACTGGAGATAAAATTTTAGAAACTGTCATGTCTTTTTTCAGACCTCACATAGATTGGCTGAGTATAAAGTTGAAAATAATAAATAAAAATTATTTATATATAAAAATCTATATGTATGCATAATTTATATGTAAATATAAAATAAGGTTGAAAATAGTTTTCCCTCAGAATCTTAAAGGCTGTATTGTGTTAGCTTCCGTTACTTGTGCTAACAAGTTAGATGCCATTCCAGTTCTCAGTCCTTAGTATTTTTTTTTTCCTTTGGAAGCTGTTAAGATCTTCAGTTTACTTCTCTTGGGAAAATTCTCAGTGATGTGCCATGGAATGAGTCTTTGTCCATTTATTGTGCCAGTAGTGAATAGGCCATTTCTATGTGGAGACTCAGGTCTTCCATTTCTAAGAATAGTCTTGCATTAATTTTTTAAAATAATTTCCTCACTCCCATTTTTTCTGTCTTCTCTCTCTGAAATTCCTGCCACTCAGACGTTGGACCTACTGCGTTAATCCTGAGTCTCTGATCTTTTCTTCCTTGTATCTATCTTTCTGGAAGGCTTTTTTTCTTTTTTTCATGTTATACCAACTTTATTGAGATATAATTCACATGTCATAAAATTCACCCTTTGAAAGTGTACAATTCAGTGGCATTTAGTACACTCACAGTGTTGTGCAACCATCACTACTACTAATTCTGTCTCTGTGGATTTGCCTGTTCTGGACATTTATATAAATAGAATCATACAGTATGTGGTCTTTTGTGTCTGGTTTCTTTTGCTTTGCATAAGTTTTTGAGTTTCATCCATGTTGTAGCATGTGTCAGTACTTCATTTCTTATTGCTGAATAATTCCATCTTATAGATATACGACATTTTATTTATGTACTCATCTGTTGGATATTTAGGTGTCCATTTTGGCTAGTGTAATGTTGCTGTAAACATTTGAATGCAAGTTTTTATGTGGACATAGATTCATTTCTTTTGGATACATACCTAGGAGGAGAATTTATGGGTCATTTGGTAACTATATTTAGTTTTTTGAGGAACCCGCCTATTTTCCACAGTGGCTACACCATGTATATTCCCACCATCAATATATGAGGGTTCTAATTTCTCTACGTCCTAACCAACACTTAGAATTATTGGTCTTTTTGATTATAGCCATCATAGTGAGTGTAAAGTATTATCTTATTGTGGTTTCGATTTGCATTTCCCCGATGGCTAATGATGCCAAGCATCTTTGCATGTGTTTTTATGGAGAAATGTATTGGGAGGTTTTCTTGACTTTATCTCCAAACTCTATTCATCAGATTTTTACTATGGCCAGCCACATGAGAGCTCTTTCTTATTCTGTTCTGTTTTCATAACTTTTTGTTCTTATTTTGGGGATGGATGGAGTATCTTCTCCTACTTGAGACTTACATATATATTTTTAACTTTTCATTTGACTCTATGTTGTTTCTTGTAGGTGTCTTTTTCTATTTGTCTTTGGGTTGGAGGCTTCCCTGGAATGTTCACTGATCTTTGGTTGTTTATTCATATTTAAAAGTAAGGCACTGACTCAGGAGTAAGAAGGGTGAAGCAGGAGATTCTTGCTTTTGTTGTAAGCCAAGTGTTTCCACTTGTTTTTTAATTTTACGCTTTAAGTTAAAATAAAACTTAATTTTGGAGTTTCCAAAAGTTAACTATATAAAACAATAAAAATAGCAAAAGTCATGGTAATGTGCAGGTATGTTAGTAATATATGGTAATAACATCAAAGATGAAGACATCATCATTTAAGCATCAGGATCAAAACTTTTTAATAGTGGGATAAAAGCTGTTATGAATAATGCTGTGTTCAACTCTTTTGAGTATATATCTAGGAGTGAAATTGCTAATTGTAATTGTGTTTAACTTTTTTCATTTTTTTGTAGTAAAGTGTGTATGACAAAACACTTGCCATCTTAACCACTTTTAAGTTTATAATTCAGTGGCATCAGTTACATTCACAGTGTTGTGTATCACCAGTATTTATTTCCAAAACTTTTTCATCATCCTGAATGGAAGTTCTGTACCCATTAAGCAATAACTCCCTTCTCCCCTTCCACCCAGCCCCTGGTAACCTCTAATTTCCTTTTAGCCTATTCTAGATATTTCATGTAGGTGGGATGTTACAGTGTTTGTCCTTTTATGTAGCATATCTCAGGACTTCATTCCTTTTTATGGCTGAATAATATTTTGACTGTATGTATGTATGTAGATAACACGTTTTGTTTGTCCATTCATCCATCTGTTGATGGACAGTTGGGTTATTTCCCTCTTTTGGTGGCTGTGAATAATGCAGTGAACATTGGCAGACAAGTATCTGTTTTAGTCATTGTTTTCAGTTCTTTGTTGTATACACCTAGGAGTAGAATTGCTGGGTCATGTTGGTAATCTGTGTCTAGTTTTTTTTTGTTTTTTTTTTTTGAGAAATCTCCAAACTGCGTTCCACAGTGGTTACAATTTCTCCACATCCTCACTATCTTCTTAAGAAATTACAGCCATCATAATAGGTCATCGTCATATTGGTTTGCACTTCCCTAATTACCAGTGCTGAGCACA